GGGGGGGGATGGTCACTGAATATATTCAAGGGTCAAGGCTGGCCACATTTTGATTGAGGTGAGGGAGAGATGAGTGTTGAGGGGGGCTGCCTGAGGGGTTGGGGGGGGGAGGGGTTGGGGGGGGGAATGGAGGAAGGGAGAGGTAGGGCAGTGGATATGAGGCTGCAATGAGATCAGCCATTGACCAGAGAGGTAGCAGGATGGATGGGCCGAACGGCCAATTCTTCGCTTGAAGAATGTGGGATGGCATTGACCTTCTATCTTTTCTTCTGTTTTTGTTTTGTTTCAATCTGGCAAATCCAGGACTGCGCCTGTGCAGGGCAGTGCAGTGAACCAGCTCTGAGAGACTGTCTTCATCCTTCTCCGACCCTTCCTCCATCCCACTGAGTGTCCCCTCACCTTCGCACCCACCCACCCATCCTCCTGTCTCTCTCCCTGTCCCCGTCCCCTCAGTGCCTGCTGAATGGAGGAGACGCCAACAGGAACCAATGGGATGTCTGAGCAACCAGCAAGGAATTGTTAAAGTCAGCAACCCCTTCTCCTCTGGCTCCCTCTGTCTCTCCCTCCATCCCTCACTCACCGGGGGGGGGGCGCAGGGGGAGCTGACTGGGCGGTGATCGGGATTCTTTGAGTCTGAAACGATTCCAGAGACTGACTGACTCTTTTTTTAGCCTTGGAAACCAGGCCTTGACACTAGGCCTCGCCGGCAGCCATTTTGTTTGAGTAACTAGACTGGATCCCTTTTCAAACTCAGCCTCGGCTGTCCCCTGGCTTGGTCAGAAACTATTACCCACCAACACCACCCGGGAGGGGCACTTTGTGAAGAGTGGCCACAACGTCTACCTGCATTTATGGAGCACCTGTCGGCAACCACATTCCCCAGACGGGTCTCCAACCCCATCAGTCAGTCAATGGCGAGCCAATCAACAAACGCGATACTGTGGGGAAGGAGAAGATCGGCCAATGGAGTCCCGTTTGAACGAAATTCTTTCGGGATGATGGACAGAGAGGCAACTCCTGAGCTCAGGACCCCAGGCAGCTAAAGGCACGGCCCCCAGTGGCGGAGTGAAGGGAACTGGGGGGATGCTAGAGAGGCTGAGATCGGAGGGTGTTACAGAGATAGGGAGGGTGTGTAGGGGCTGGGGGAGGTGACAGAGATAGGGAGGGGGTGTAGGGG